ACAAGGGACACACACTCATATTCAAGTTCACTCGGTGCTAAACTAAGTTCCATTTAATAAAATTTCATTAATACATTACTTTTAAAAAAACATAGACTTAGGAGTTTTATCCCCTCATATGTTTAGCTCATAGGTCATAGATGAAAGTGCATCAACCTAAATCATGTGAGAAGATCCTTTCACATGCACATGGAATATGTATTAGCACTATCTAGTTTAAGATACAATTGAGCACACCTCTCAAGGCTCCTATATTTACTAGATCATCATTCATGTGTGTGTGTATACTTATATGTGAGCAAACCTTTCACATAACACCTTAAGTCACACATGTTCATACATTCATATTCATACATATAGAAACTCAAAACTATAACTATCCTATCAAGGTACACATGTGCAATGCATAGGCAAAGTCCCATACCCTTGCCCGTGCTAGTACACCTATCAGGTAATCCTAGCTAAGGAAACACATATAATATTTTCATAAACATCATCTTAACATGCATAGTAGTTGACACTAGTGATTATGAGAACCAGCTTTCATTTAGACACCATGACCTATACTACTTGTAACATTCATGTAAAGTGAGTGTATGTTTACATTGGTCAACATGATCACATAATGACTATCAACTACCCATTGAGGAAGCCACCCTCTTAGACCATAATACTCTTTCAGACATAGATGACTCACAATACCATAGGAGGCGATTCAACTTTATATTACAGTTAACACTCCTAACTTGTACTATTCATGCATTCACATAGAGGTACATATGTAAGGAGTTGTTAACAATTTTTACTCATCAATGGCAGCACATATACTTTATCCTAACATAGATATACACATGCTTATACAATAGCCATACAACCTAAATGTCAACTATAATAGGAAAGTAGGCATAAGTTTCACATTGAGTGATCATCATAACCACATATTCATATATTAATAAATTTGCCTTGAAGGACATAATCGAAACATATGTAGATTCTCAATAAAGTAAACACCGTCATAAGTGGACCATACTACACAATGTTATACAAGGCTTCATAAAGTACATTAACATAGAAGAGTAGAAAAGATAAGCATTATTACCAATTTATCACCCTTTGATTATTCTAGGTCAATACCCCTTGTTTATGAACAATTCATATATAGGGCACTCGTTAAATGTACTTTAAGCATAGAATAAACCATGTACAAGTCACTAAAAGATCATGATACATCTAGTGCAAAACATTACCATTGTTGTACAGAATAGATAGACATCGATCATCAATCATAATCCCTAGTCTTGTTTATCAATCAATATTCACCAATTATAACCTAAACGAGATCCTAATACAATTGCTAATAAAATTGAATTCACTCTAAGTATGATTCATATTAGGATTTCATGAAAGTTAAGTTTACATAGGTTAATCCTATTTAAATTATCATGAATTGATCCGCATTGTATCCATTACATATAAATCATACTCACATTATATTATAGGCAGTAGCTAAGGACAATTAACCATGATAAATTCATATAAAAACTAACATAATGTCAAGATTACAAGTTACAATTTCATAGACTAGAAGAACAAAGTTCAATTCATATAAGCCTTCTTTACTTCAATCATACAAGATTCATATCCATAATCAAAACATGATTTCTACCTAGAAAAGTAGGTACAACAAACTTAACATAATCGAAATCCACTTTTCTACAATTAAAGACCAACATTACAATGATCACATTATTAACTAGTCTAGGCATGTCCAAACCATAATATATTGATCCATATGGATTCTTAATCATAAATTCACGTAAATAACACTAGATTTAACCACTTCAAGAGAATAGATTCACAATCCAATCGATAACTAGTCAATATCACAAAGCCCATGCAAGGACTACATCTATTTAGGCAGGGAACATGGGTTCATCATGCAAATAGTTTAAAATCGCGTTCAATAAAACACGTTAAAATAAATCCATCATTTAGAACACCATAACGTTCATTCAAGCCATAATTACCTTTTCTTAATTCTCCAATAATTTTTCATAATTAGGCATGGATGGTAGTATAAAACCATAGTAAAACATAATATAAACACAATTCTAATAATATTCAATCACATTCATCAATCCACTTCTTAAGCAAAAATTTGAAAATTAGGATGTTCATGGGTCCATTAAGTTTTTTTAATCATAAATCATAAATTAACATTGCAAACATCATAATCATCCATTAAAACCTCTTAATGCAAGAACCCATGCTTAGAATTTGAAATAGAAACTTTAATGATTTTGAGATATTTTGAAAAGCCTTTGGATTGCCTCATTGAATTATAGAAGAATCACGGTTAAATAACCTTACCTTATTAGTATAAAGCCAATGAAATTGTAGAAGAAATCAATGGAAATTTTAAATCCTAGCAAAAATTTGACATCGAGCTTCCATGGAGGTCTTGAGAGAACTTCTATGAACTTTGGGTTCTGATTTTTTTGAAGACATTCATAGTTAGATGACACTAAAACACTTTAAAAGAATTAAAATACTCAACTAGAACCACACAAACACACATTATCATAAACATAGATTCATAGTTAATGCACCAAGCTGACAAGAAACACTAACTTCACATGATTATGCACTCTAAGAAACACAACAATTGGGAACTATTTCTACAATACATAGTGCACACATACTTCATAATTTTCATTGAATAATGGAAGAAATACCTTTTCCTACTTTCGACATGCTCATTATTTCATTATAAGTCCCAACATGCAATAACTTTTCTATAATACCCCTAAAATATTTGACAATGATTTACATGTCGATACGTCATTGCTTAATATTGTCTTTTATTCACATTATTGGAACTTGATATTTTGTGATAATTGTAAACGTGCCTAACGTAAGTGTTATCCTAATTTAAGGTATTGTATGGGGGTATTTATGTAAATTGACTATTTATAATTTCATATATGTTTAATGTTTGTGTGTGTGTGTGTGTGTGTGTATATATATATATATATATATATATATATATAGGAGTATATGTATGCAATTTAGGCAGGAATCAAAAATAAATTGGGCAGCAACTTTATTTGACATATGTATGTGTTACTAAGCTTCACTATTGAAACTATATTTTGACACATCCGCTTATGATTTTCGTCTAAATTGATGTCTAAGAGAATTATACATTAGAAAAAAAGTTGTTATTTAAAATTAAAGGAAAAACTAGGTCCTTTTTGCTTTAATCCAACACACAGACATTTCATCTTGGTAAGTGATGAAGAATTTATTTTAATACTTGATAGTGTTTGGTAGTTTACAGATATCTCGTTCAATACAAATCTTTTTAAAGTTAGTAAATATGATTTGGAAGATAATTCATAATTTGACAAATCATTTTCTTATGGAAATCTCTAATTTCCTAGTTACGGATTCGAAATATTGAACGCAACATAGAGCAACTTCTACCCAACTTTTGGAATTAGAATTCTTGTCTGTTAAACTGTTAGTACTTTTATTATATCTTTTTGTAAAAAATGTATTTTTAGGTGAATCTTTATTATTTTCAAGCTGAATAGATGTACCTACATCTTTTATGAAGGATATAACGTACAATTTTGCCATTTTCCCTTTTCAAATTGTAGTTGCGACATGAGACATTAAGTTGGCCAGAATCACTATACTAGGAGAATAGTTGTATTTCTAAAGGCTAAGCTAAATTTTTATGTTTATCTTGTTTTACTTTGAAATTTTTGAGTTACTAGTAATTAAAGAAGTTATTTAATTGCATTCTACTGTTTTATATACTCGTGAACAAATTGAGAACTTTCATCTGTTGGTTAGTCTATGGTTTGAACCATTGAAGTCATGTTGGACTATTTCATTTCTAAATAGTTAAGGTTTACTTATAAACTTGTACTTGTAATATTTTTAGCTACATGTATATCAGAAAGTTTATATTGGTACTTTTATTACCTCATGTAACTTTGCATTGTTGTATTGTTGTCGCTTAAGACGTTAAAGACTCTTGTGTAACTCGCCTACTTGTACAAATTGTTTAATAACTTGTCATTACTATTAGGACTTTGGCCTTCTTGTGGTTCGGGCTCAATCACTATTGGGAAGCTTCTTGATTCATATTATTTGTAATCTTGACTTTGCATTTTTAGTTCATCTTATGTATGAGAATGGTCCATTATAAGTACGAACTAAAAGTCACTTTCTAATAGGTTCTTAGTTCTCTTGATTATTGGGCTTTTACCTTCCTTATACAGGGGATTGACCCTTCTTATTTCTTCTCGTGCTTGGTCTAAAAACATGATGTATATATTGGGTGAGTCTTGTTATTTAACCGCTTGGAAAATTCTCTATGAACGTTATTGACATTTGGATCGTTAATTATCCAACTTGATACTCTTTATATATTTTTTACTTGATTTACTGATTATATTTTAATTATATTTCCCTTGACTTGAGAATAATGACTTGGTGATTCTAAGGGCGCTTATTCTATAGTGTTTACATCACTAAGCTTTATGCTTAGTGATAGTTGATTCTATCTAAGGGAATGTTTGAGAGGAAGGTTAAAGTTGGTAATTGAAGATGGAGATTTTGAATATATATATTTTGTATAAACCTTCGGACTTGTGAACGATCTATGTGTTGTATAAATACATCATATTTTTGGGGCTGATTTTGTCATTTCACCATGATTTGTAATATAAGTATGGGTATACATTTTTATCTTTTTGGGTTTTATAAACGCAAGTCTTGTAATATACGAATTTACTATAGGATTTGTATGTTTTGTGAGGCATGAACATGCTGATTTTTTCTACATTGATGTTGGTAATACTATTGTTATTTCATCTATAAATGTGAGAATAATATAGCCATCAAAGCTTGTCTGTCTTTCTTAATAGATTTTGGGAGGGATTTTTCGTCGTCAATTCAAATTATGGGCTATACAAACTTGGTCTTCATTAAATATTTAATGCGGGCAAAATTCACATTGTTAACTAAATTATTCGTTATGAACCTAATACTTCAACTCGATAAAAAATCTGTATGCCTTTGTTAATCTCTTTTAAAGGTCTCAAGTATTAAATTAGGGCTTTTCTCATGTTTTTGTATCTATCGGAAAGAGGTGCTAAAATTTTTTTAAACAGAGCTTAGGTTTGTGGCTGTAGAATTTTTTTGGTGATTTACTTGTAGAGTTACTTGCTTGCGAAAAGGTTCTAGTTAGTGTTCATGTTCACTTACATTGTATGACATATCCTTATAGCATGTAAGGTGCACATAAATCATGTACATGTCCCTAATGCAGTGTGATCCTCTCTTTTAAAGTAATTAAGTTATGGCAACTTCTTCTAACCAACCTATTGAAGATGCTCGTGAAGGTTTGGGTGCCTCTTTTTTCCAAACTCGTTCACTTGAAGGAGTTGTAGAACATATCTCGAATTAGTATTTTTCCAAATTGGCGAGTCTAAAGTGGGAAATCATCAGCATGTAAGAGGTTGTTCACATCCTCATATGAATCATGACACTTAATCTATGAATTCTCCTTTTCATGAAATGGCAGAATTTTTCCAACACATGGATGAATCGATGTTTCATCCCAATGGGATTAACTTTGATAAAATCAGGAAAATGGGTGGAGTGGAGTTTAAAGGAAGTGTTGATCCCACTGATTTTTAACAATGGCTAGATGCATGGATAGGGTGTTTGAGCAGTTGTAGTGTTCAGATGTGAAATTGAAGTATGTGATTTCTTTATTATAAAAAGATACTTATGATGTATGGGTAAATGTTCTGAATACAAGGGTAAAACCTCCTTTTCTCACTTAGTATGCTATTCTTAAGGAATTTCCAATGAAATATGTACCACCGACTTATTGTGATGCAAAGAAAAAAGAGATTTTGAATCTAAGGAAAAGAGGTATGTCTATTGCTGATGTGAACAAAAGTTTCTAAGGCTGTCTGATTATGCTAGGGGTATTATTAAAGAGGAAATTGATTAGTGCAAGAAATTTGAAGATGGTTGAAATTATTCTATTAGGAAGAATGTTGTGATCCTACAACATGAGAATTTTTTTAAGTTGGTGTCTGCTGCTTTTACCTGGCAATGACTTTATAATGAAGATTATAGTAGAAATGAAAACAGAATTCGAAAGCATAGACCAAATTTAGGAGGTCCATCAAAAAGGGGTAGATTTGATAATTCTAAGGCCAGTAGTGAAAATAGGCCAACACAACAAAAGAAAAACAGATCAAATTTTTCTACAACTAGCACTGCAAATTATGTTCAAGAGAAGCCTCACATTTGCACTTGTCCACAATTCGCAAAGAATCATTATGGTACTTATAGGAGAGCCTCTGCTGCATGTTTTAATTTTGGGAGTTTTGATCATAGAGTTAAGGACTATCCTAATCCAAATAATGCTCCTTCCTTGAATGGTGAAGATTTGGTTTATAAGCCTTGTGTTAATCCTCCTTAAACTAATAAATGTGCAAGGCCTAGAAACACCCAAGCTGAAGGTGCAAATGGAGCTAATAAGGCTGGTGGACAAAGGGGTACTCAACACGCTTATGATATGAGGCGGAGGGATGATCAATAGAGACAATACGTGGTTGTCACTAAATTTCACTATTTGTCTTCTGTGATGTTTACATTGTTGATCCTGATTCTACACATTCCTATATTTGTTAATATCTTGTTTTTACTGAAATTTGTGAGATCCACAAGACTTAATTATGATTTGTTGGTTGAAAGTCCATTTGGTTATCAGGTTATGTCTAATCGAATTCATTGTGATTGTACCTTCAATATTCAAAATCTTGTCTTCCCTGCTCAGTTTATTGAATGCCCTTCATGGATTTTGATGTTATTATAGGGATGGACTGAGTTTATAAATTTCATGCAGTCGTTGATTTTAGGTCAAAATATGTGACATTTAAAGATACTATATGTACACATCATTGTAAAAGGTGATAGATTATTGAAATCTAGTATTATTTCTGCGTCCTTAGCAAGAATATTGAAGCGTCCAGTTTGTAGGGCATACCTTGCTCACATAGTTGATACCTATTGAAGATTCCTTAGATCAAGAACTTTTTGAGAAGGTTTTATTCGACCTAGTATTTCTCCTTAGGGATCCCCTATTTTATTTGTTAAGAAGAAATATGGGACTTTTAGGTTTTATACAGACTATAGGCAATTGAATAGAATAACAATAATGAATCGATATCCACTGCCAAGGATTGATGATTTGTTTACCAAATTGAAGTGTGCTAAAATATTCTTAAATATCAATTTAAAATCTCGTTATCACCAACTACGTGTTAGAGAGAATGATATTCCTAAAACATCTTTTAGAACTCGGTATGGTCATCCTGAATTTTTGGTGATGCAATTTGGATTGACAAATGCACCTGTAATATTTATGGATCTAACAAATTGAGTATTCAAGCCTTATCTTGATCAGTTTGTGTTTTTTTTTGTAGATGATATTTTAATATATTCATGAAGTAGTGACGACCATGATAAGCACCTCCGGATTATTTTGAAGATTTTTAAAGAAAAAGAACTTTATGCTAAACTTTCTAAGTGACAATTTTTGCATGATGAGGTGTCATTTCTGGGACAAGTTGTATCAAGTGACGGTGTGAAGGTGGATTCTAGTATGATACAAGATGTTTTTAAATGGAGACCTCAAAAAAGTACGATTAAGGTAAGAAGTTTCTTGGTCTTAGCATGATATTATAGAAGATTTGTGAAAACGCTTCTCCGTTATTTCCTCCCCTTTGACTAATATCTTGTAGAAGGATGTAAACTTTATTTGGGATGAAAAATTTCAAAATACCTTTGAAGATCTAAAATCCTTGCTGACTCAAGCGCCATTACCTATTGTACCAATTGAAGATAAAGAATATGTAGTGTACAGTGATGCTTCTCACAATAGCCTAGGATGCGTTTTGATGAAATAAAGGAAGGTAATATCTTATGCCTCTCAGAAATTTAAACTGCACGAATTGAATTATCCTACTCATAATCTTGAACTTGCTTCTATAGTGTTTTATTTAAAAGATTGGCTTCGTTATTTGTATGGAGATAAATGTCATATATTTAATGATCACAAGATCTTAAGTTACTTTGGAAATGTCATATATTCACTAGTCACAAGATCTTAAATTACTCCTGTACTCAAAAGTATCTGAACCTAAGACAAGGATAACCGCATGAACTCATCAAGGATTATGACAGCACGATTGATTATCATGCAGGTAAAGGTAATGTGGTTTTCCATGACTTAAGTCAAAAATCTTTCGCAAGCATTTCTTTGAGCCTTTTTACATTTTTCCTTCAGTTAATAGCCATGAATGTTTGTTTTATAACTGATTTTAATGGTTCAGTTATTGCTAATTTGCAATTAAATCCAATATTCCCTGAACAAGTGAAGGAATCAAAATATTTAGATGAGGAACTTCTAAAATTTACTTGAGAGGTCCAAAATGGGGAGAATCTTTATTTTACATTAACAAAAAATGGTGTCTTACTTTATCAAAACATATTATGTTACCTTATTGATGAAAACTTGAGTAGAGAAATATTGAAAGAAAAACATACTTCATCATATGCAATGCATCCTAGAGGGACAGAGATGTACAAGACCATCTAAGAATATTATTTATGGAATGGTATAAAGAGAGAACTTGTGGAATTCATTTCAAAATGTATGGTTTGTCAACAAGTAAAGGAAGAATATCAAGTCCCGGTTATTTTACTATAGCCATTGTCGATGCCGGAATAGAAATCGAAGAGAATAACTATTGACTTTGTTACTTGACTTTCTCGTACACAATGAAATCGTGATGAAATATTAGTTATTTTAAATAGTGTAACAAAGAGTGCTCACTTCATAGCAATTAGGATGGATTACTCACTTTAGTGTTTAGCCGAGTTCTACATTAATGAGATTGTTAAACTATATGGGATCCCAGTGTCTATTGTATCTGACCGAGACCCAGTGATTACATCTTGGGGCACTTTGCTGGATGCTTTAGGTTCGTTCCATCTTCATAAAGACCGCCAATAAAAAAGAGTGATACAAATTTTGGAGGATATGCTCCAAGCTTGCATTATTTAGTTTTAGGGTAGTTTGGAAAAAGACTTTGCTTTTGATAGAATTTTCTTACAATAATAGCTACCAATTAGGTATTAGAATGCCTCCCTATTAAGCTTCATATGGAATAAAATTATGGACCCCTCGTTGTTGGAGTAAAATTTTTTAAACAAAGTATATTGATCCTAAAATGGTGCAGCAAATCGAGTTTAGGTTGAAAATTATAAAGGATCGTTTAAATATTTTTTTCGAATAGAAAAAAGTCGTACAATGATATAAAGAGGTGTGCCATTGAACATCATACTGGAGATAAAGTATTCTTAAAGGTCTTAGTCCCCAATTTATTGGACCTTATGAGATACTTGAAAGGGTTGGGCCATTTGCATATAAATTGACTTTACAACCTAAGTTAGACAAGATCCACATTGTCTTTCATTTTTTTATGCTTAGAAGATACTATTTTGATCCATCACATGTTCTTCTAGTTGAATCTATTGAGGTTAATCCTTACTTGACGTGGAATGAAGAACTTATCTTGATTCGATCTAGGTAACTATAGCACCTTAGAAACAAGAGAATCTCTTGAGTAAAGGTACTTTGGATGCAACATTCTGGAAAAGCAGCTACTTGGGAGAGAGAAGAAGACATGAGGAAACAATATCAACACTTGTTTCGGGACTAGTCTAAGGTAAATTTTGAGACAAACATTCTTTAAGGGGGAGAGAGTTGTAAAACTAATATTTTAACAAATATTATTTTTTTGTAAGATTCTAATTGTTATGTTAAAGATTCAAAATATCGGATGCAACATAGGACAAGTTCTGTCCATCTTCTTGAATTAGAAGTCCTGCTTATTCAACTATTTATATTTTGATTATATCTTTTTGTACAAAATGTATCTTGAGGTTATTATTGATTATTTTCAAGCTTAATTGATGGACCTACATCTTTTATGAAGGTTATAAAGTCAAGTTTTGTTGTTTTCTCTTTCAAATCTTCATTGTGACACGAGACATTAAGCTGGACAGAAATATGCATTGGGAGCAATAGTTGTATTAGTAAAGGCTAAGCATACTTTATGATGGTTATACCGTTTTACTTTTAGATTTTTGAGATACTAGTAATTCAAAAAGTTATTTAATTGCATTTTTAAGGTTGTATATACTTGTGAACAAGTTGAGTACCTTCATACGTTGGTTGGTCTACGAATTGAACTCTTGAAGTCATGTTCGACTGTTTCTTTGCTACACTATTGAAGTGTCTGTATAAACTTGTACTTGTACTAATCTGACCTAATGGTATATCTGAATGTTTATATTGGTACATTAATTACCTCTTTTAAATTTTCATTGTTGTATAGTTGTCGTTTAAGATGTTAATGATTTTTGTGTAATTCTCCCACTTGTGCCGATTGTTTCATCCCTTGGCATTTTTGTTGGGTCTTTGTCCTTTTTGTTGCTGTTACATTGTCCCATTGGAATGCCTCCTTATTTTGATCATTGGTTATCTTCACTCTAGATTTTTAGTTTGTCTTTAAGTATGGGAGCGATCCATTTTAAGTATGAACTAGAAAACCATTTTTAATGTGGTTCTTGGTTCTCTTGAATATTTAGATTTGAACATTATTGATACAAAGAGTCGAACATTCTTTTTTCTGCTCGTGTTTTGTGTCAATACATGAAGTATATATTGGGTGAGTCTTGTTATTTAACCTCTTGTAAAAATTGCTATGAACATAATTGACATTTGGAGCATTAATTATCCAACTTGATACTCTTTTTATATTGTTTACTTCATTTACTGATTATATTTCATTTATTTTGCGCTTCACTTGAGAATAATGACTTGGTGAATCTAAGGGTTCCGGATCTATAGTTTTTACACCACTAAGCTTTATGCTTAGCGATAGTTGTTTATATTGTAGGGAATGTTTGAGAGGGAGGTTGAAGTTGGTAATTGAATATGGATATTTAAAAAGCCTTAAAGGAAGATCACACTTGCGTATAGGCATATATATATATTTTGTTTAAATCCTGGGACTTGTGCACGATCTATGTATTTTATAATTACATTAGATTTGTAGGGCTAATTTGGTCATGTCACCATGATTTTTATACAATTGTGACTATACATTTTTAAGTTTTTGGTATGTGTAAATTCATGTCTTGTAATATAATAATTTACTATATGTTTTGTAATTTGTTTGAGGCATGAGCATCCTGATATTTGTTAAATGGAAGTTGGTAATACTATTGTTATTTTGTCCTTAGATGTGTGGATAATATATGCATCAAAGCTTGTCGGTCTTGCATAACAGATAATTTTTTACCTTAATAAATATTTAAGCGGGCAGATGCACATCCTTAACTAAATTATTCATTATGAACCTAATCCCTCAACTGGATAAGAAAATAAATATCTCTTCATTAATATCTTTTAAATATCGCAGGTATTAAATTAGGTTTCTTGTAAAGTTGTAGTATCCATTTTCAAATCACATAAAGGAACAATAAATATAACTTTTGAGGCAATTAAGAAAATATCATAACATTCACATTGACATGAGAAATATTAATTAACCACAGACATTCCCATGTAAATATGATATCATAAAGAACATCCAAAGCATTATATCATCAAAGTCAATCATATCATAAAGATACATGCAACCCACACTCATATGCAAGACTCTAAAACATAACGAAACCACTAAGAATTTTGTTCTCAAGATTGTATATTAATAGAAGGAAAGATAATTATATCAACTGTACTACTCAACCCATTCTCCTCAACTTGGTATAAATTAATGTATGAACAATTAAAGACAACCATTAGGACTATGATTCACTAGGTACTTTATCCCGGGTTTGCTTCTTTGATAGCTTGTAGCACATAAAAACGATTCTTCCTTGAGTATTAGGATCTGGACCATCTTGAGGAGCTTGGATTATCTCCTTCCCTTTTTCCTTGAGGTTTGGGAAATCACTCGTTGTCACGACAAGGGAGCATCCCCTAGAAGTTACATGGTGTACATGACCTCTTTAAGGTCTTGTACAAGCCCGTAGACATCATTAATCGCATTGTCATAGGAAATTTAGCAAAAAAATTAGAACTTTTCGTAGCACATCATAAGCTAAAAACATTATTTAATATAAACATTAAATAGGTCATAATGCATAGTTAGACTCTAAGTCTATTTTGTCAGCTTCGACTCAACATCCCTTGAGTATAAAAAGTACATGACCCTTCAACATAAAATATTAATGTAATTATTAACCAAACTTGAATTATAACTTGACATATGAAATCCTTCAATCATAAGGATCTGTTTTCTTGACCTTGGGGGACATCTATCAATCCCTTCACTTTAAGAGATATCCTCGAGTCATCCATCACTTACACTCTGTATAAAAGGATGAAGATTGATGATATTAGTATAAGAATGCATTAAGTATGTCAACCATGAAAAAACATACATTCAAAGAGCATATTTACTTAGAAATCATGCAACATGCCTTTTTAAAGTATCTTCTTTAACGTTGGAACAATTATACAATATGATTCATTTACTTCATAATTTCATAGGTACTATTCATGTCAACACACGAAGATACATATATTGCATATAAAGAACATAAATCATATTCATAACATTATCTTCTTTTAGCTTAATTCATTAACCCCTCTGTATCCCTCAAGTAATACTTGGTGTAATCCATGAATAGTGTACATTCCACTACCTACACTTAAGCATCACCCTAAGGTCACCAATGTGAACATTCATACAACCTTTATTTTCATAATCACATACATTCATATAAAAATAGCATACCTTCAAACATATACTGAACAAATGACCCAACATAAATCATGAACCACATAGAAGACTCATTCAAACACAACATGAAAGTCACGACTACAAATACCATCACAACGAAGCACTAGTAAACAATAACATATTTGAACTTCATTTCATTAAGACATCATAAGACCTTCTTCATATTACAAATCTAATTCTAGTAGTGCATTGTACATGTCAAGCCCCATAACCTCACACTTACTAAGTCCTCACAAAGAGACCACAAGCATAAAATTACCTTCATACATCAACATGATAATTGTAACGCTTTGAAAATTCAAGACCTAATCTAGAGCCTAAGACAAGTGTATAAAGTATTTGTTACTATTTTATGACCTAAAATAATTTTTAGAAGTCATCCGATATGTTTTAGAGCCAAGATGTCAAAGAACGTCCGGAAACTAGTTAAATTTATCTAGTAGACGTCGCAATGTTTGGGGATTGTTTCGGAGGTTGAAATGAGGTCTAAAATCTTTTAAAAATACTTTGGTTAGGTAGATTGTAATACATGGAGTCTAAACTTCCCATAACGATGCCCCAAGGACCACCCAAAGCATCGTGGAGGAGGACCCCAACATAGGTGGTAGGCTGCCAAAGTAGCCTGCAAAGATCAAAAATCAGTGGTCTGCTACGTGCCGCGCAGTCCACACGGACTTCACTATCCCAAAAAATAAAATTGGAAATAAAAGCGTATTGGACCTGTGACGCGGAGCCACTTCCAAGATTTGGTAAAATCATATTTATTAACATTTAGACTTCACAAAAAGATCAATTTAAATGAGGGGTGTTTCGGGTAATTTAGGGGTGATTATATAGCCTAAGGGTCACTTTAAGTAATTTATCATTCTTCTAAACAAAAATTCTCAAAAACAAAACTTAAAAGCTCCCACCTCTCTCTACTTTCTCTCTTCCCAAATTGTCCATTGAATAAGGAAGAAAACTTGAGGAAGAAGGGCAATATCTCTAAGAATTTATTCTTATTTCGTTGATTAATATTCATTATGGTATGGGTTCTTATCTTTTGGGATCCCTTTCCCCATGAGTTTCTCTCAAAGTTAATTTCTAAATTACCCAATTCCATGTTGTTTGCCAATTCTAATTGGTTTTCTTATAAATTTCATGTTTCTGAAGAATTGTGATCATGTTCCCTTCCCCAATTTCTTAAATTTTTGGTCTTGGTCATGAATTGATGGGATTGAAGAAAGATTTGATTGTTAGACTTCTTTTATCTATTCTAATTCATGTATGGATTGACTAGGGTAATGTAGTGTTTGGATTGGATAAAATTCTTAATGAATTCATGATGAACCATATTTCTCCTAACCCTAGGTTATGAATTAATGTTAATTGGATAATGACGATGCAATTTACCTACTTCTTGTGTTAATTACTATAGATTAATATTAGTACACCTATTGATTGTATGAAATTTGTTGGTTGATGGTAATATCATGATGATGCCTATTGAAGTATATGGAGTAATTCCTTATGACCCTAACCTTTACTTCAATTATAATGGCTTGTGACATATGATGTAGTTCAATTAAAGCATGCCTTGTGATTAGCCTAAGTAGGTGTTGGTATGATGTTTTATTTAAATGTCTTGACTATGTAATTGTGAGATTATTCTTAAGATAAAATTATATAAGGTTGGTTATGAAGTATCTATGTGCCTTATTATTATATGATGACGAAGTTATGCTAGTCTCACATTTAAGGGTTGCCATGAAAGGATAGTCTTATGCAAATTCCTAATGATCTAATGACAATTGAATATAAAAGGCATAAGACCCTATGACTTACAATAAGTTACGATGATTATTAATGACATTAAATACCTTTCAAAAGGAACTTATCTTAATACCGAGTGAACTTGACAATGAGATGTGATGATTTCCCATAGAGAAATATTCATTGTACAGTTCCACATATAGTGTTGACTACCCAATGATGGATACTCATCCAATTGATTCCCATGAGAGGCTGCCCTAATTTCCAAGCGGTATATAGATGCATAATACCTATCTCCTAGTTCTTAAACAACGTTTTCCCCATAGGAATACTAGTTAGTGGATCCACCTAGTAAACTACGTTTATGTTTGGTTTTACTTTGATTGGTAGACAACCTGCCTTCGGTGTAAGGTTTTACAACACCCGATCAACAATTATCTGTTGTGTTCTATGTAAGTTAAGGCAAGTATTCCCTATAATAAAAATGAAGTCATGAAGTACAAAACAACTAGGGTGACTTAGGAGGTTGACTTAGCTTAGGTAGGGGTATGGGACTCTACATAGGCGTTGCAGTAGTTTTCCTTGAGGGAAACCATAGGAGGTTCTTATTATGTATGAATATGCTTATGACGGTATGTGATATTCATATGATGAACTTGCACATTTTTTATACTATATGTTTATTAGTCTCACTTATGAATATGAGTTTATTTAAATTGTTAAAGT